GTGACCCTACTGGAGCACACCCAGCCATTACAAAATGGGTACCCTTAATTAAATAATTGCTAAAGGGGTAAAGCCTGGTGGTTGAGCGTGATCCTGGCCCGATCCCTCCCTCCACAACCGTTGGCCTTAGTACCAGTACTTTCCCTAAATTTATCATTCAGTTGGACAGGACCCCCCCCCCCCAGACCTACAACTGAAATTCAAGTATAGTATAATACTATTTTTAATTTAAAATTTGTGGACCACAGATTTAAAAGCAAACATAAAACCCCCCGATAACATGGTAAAAATATCCTTTGGCCAATTTGAGAGGATGATATTGGTCGTGTCTAATAGAATATCGTAAGGGCGCCTATGATAATAATACAGACAAAATCCCCTATTAATAAATAATAGACTATTTAAGACCCAAAGAAAATTAATTTTAGAAAATTAGTACTCATTAATTCTATTTTGAAATTTGTATTCATTTTAATATATAATATTATAAAATAAAGCTCTGTTTATTTTTCACCAATTTATTTTAATTTTCATAGCTACGTTTCGGCCGGTAAGCCGATACGTAGTCGAATTCAAAGTCGAATTGAATTAGACTTTGGACTACATGAAAAAAGTATGGTTGGATAAAATGGCTTGAAGATAGCTTATCGGCCGAAACGTAGCTATGAAAATTAAAATAAATACGGTGAAAAAATAAACTGAGGCTAATTTTATAATATTAGAAAATTTTCACCTAAAACAAGCACATATGGATAATATATATATATATATATATATATATATATATATATATATATATATATATATATATATAAAACATACAACATATAATTGCAAATAAAGTTTATTATTATATTAAAATATTAACATTATATATTATATAATGTTAATATTTTAATAAGGTCACTCATTAATTATTCAATAAACTATTGAATGTTCATTTCTTCTGTTTATTGACGTTTCGATTCCGGTACTTTTTATTCGTCAACCATGGGATCCTCTTCAAAGCTAGAACTACAAATAGCTCAATCGGTACACAATATTACTTCCATATGTCTTTAATAACAATTATTTAAAAATGTTTAACCTACTTTTAAAAAACAGAGCTTCGATCAGGCCAGGGACGCACCGACAGTCTCAGCACCGTCCACTAGCACATACATTAAGCTACTCTTTATATGTATATGTAGCTAATAAAAAGAAAATACCGGGATCGAAACGTCAATAAACAGAAGAAATGAACATTCAATAGTTTATTGAATAATTAATGAGTGACCTAATTCCCAATTAAATAGTTTAAATTTAATGCTCAAAGGTCGATTAAGGAAAAGTTGTAAATATATATATATATATATATATATATATATATATATATATATATATAATGTTAATATTTTAATATAATAATAAACTTTATTTGCAATTATATGTTTGACAAAAGCCTCTTCCTTTATTGAAAAATTTTAATGTAGATGGCTACAGAAAAAACTTGGCTGCATCATTTTACCCAGTATTTCACCAAGTTGAAGTGGCTTTATGCGTCCCACCACAGTAATTACCTACCTATTAGAACTCGGCGAACCTCTTATATTCTACAGAGCCTACAGTTTAAATCCTCCATTCAATCCCGTCCCACCATATCCCATACGTCCGACCTCTATCCTCCTCCTCACCGAACTGCTGCGTTTGACAAATCTTTTATAATTCAAGCTGTCTTCAAAAATACACAGAAAAATGAAATAAGACAAAACAAACTTAGTATTATTCATAACTTCATTTTTTCATCTGCTTCTTTCCCAAATAGAAGATTCTGATGGTCCGTTATAGCTTTCGATAATTGTTTCTTTTTTTTTTCCATACTATTCATATTATTTTCATTTTTGGCTAATGCTTGCGATATCCAAATCATATTTCGTGTTTTGATTTTAAGGTGTTAGTAATTAATTTGGAAGGTTCTGATCTATTTCAGCTGGCTTTTTGTATATTTTCTTCCTTTCGTTGTCTAAACTACACGTTCTTGTTTTTCTGAAACTCCTGTTCCTTTTTATTGTATAACTTCCATTAGAAGAGTTTTCTTCCTTATTGCATCCTTTTCAGCGATTAAATCTTCTAAAGTAAATAAATTGCCATTTATTTATTTATTGCAGTTTGTACACCCTAATAACGGCTTTAAACTCTTTTTCTTTTATTTTTTTTTTACAAGAATACATGGAAATAAAGCGTCCGTATCTGTCGAGTTTTCTTGGAGAAATCTTTCTTTAAATAATGTTTTTAAACTTTTCATTCTTTACAAGATTTACCACGGTAAAGCTTTATTTAGTAGTAGTAAAAATATTTGCTATGTATACTTCCCCACTTCACTATTTAGGTAATAAAGTATATCCAACATTTCTTTCCTTTTTTTTCGAAATTGTTGTGAGACTTTAAATTAAAGAATAAATGGTTATATTTTCTTTCAAAGTGAATTTATTTTCAAGTTTGTTAATTTTGATTTTCAAATCATTTATTTCATTTTTTTATGCTTTCATCACTTTTATCTATTTTTTTATTCAATTAAGGTAAGTTGATCGAGTTTTTGTAAGATTCATTTAATGCTTTGTAATCCCATTGTACGATATATTTATGAATTAAGCACAGCTGATGGCCTTGAATGGAATGTTCACTCACATGGAGTTGTAGTGGGAGAGAACAGGTAGGATCATAGATTGTAGATAAGGACCAAGCAATTCAATAAATGATCTAATCTACCTGGCTTATTTTCGTCCCGAATGAACCAATTTTATTCAAATTTCGTATTCTGATAGTAGACACTGATGTTCTTAATCAGATAAAAAAATCAGAACTGTTCCTTCACTTTTGCCACATTAAACATGCTTCAACAGAGAGCCGATCTTCACACAACGGCAACTACAGCCCAACTCGATTCTGTAATTGTATTATTTTTTATTTTTATTGTATCGTTTTACTATACATGACTTTAGTTGCTGATTAGAAAAGATATTGATTGTAGCAACTAATGAATTGATATTTTTAATTTTTTAAGGCTTCTGTACACTTCACTGGTTTCAGTATGGCTTGATGGGACGTACAGGCGAATCTAAGCTTTCGGGCTGAAGTCCCCCTCCCCCAAAAAGGTAAAATGTAACGATGTTTTATTGAAACAAATATCTATTTAAGTATTATTGTTCGTGTAATTACATGTAATAGGACTTCAAGAATCACTAAAACTCTAATTAGTATAGATAGTTAGAGTATCTTTATTTTTTTTTAGAAGTGATTATCGTTTTTTATATATATATATATATATATATATATATATATATGAGGCTGGGGCAGCTGTCCGAGCCAGTAGCGGATTCAGGGTTTAACAGGATTTAATTTTTGGGGGAGGAGGCTTCAGCCCGAATGAATTTTTTTTTCATATATATATATATATACAACGATAATTAATTTGAAAAAAAAGAAATTAACTACCTGTATGAAATGGTGTTCAAGTGGTTCTTGAAGTCCTATTAAATATAATTACACGAACAAGAATACTTTAAGATATAGTTTTAATATTTTTTTCTGTATAACATGGTTATATTTTACCATTATGGGGGAGAGGGCTTCAGCACGCCGGACCCCTCCTCTCCCCCCCCCCCCCCCGTAGATCCGCCGGTGGTACACACTAAGTCGCTTGCAATAGGTAATCAAAGTTAAGCAACGTCGAGCGTGGTTAGTACTTGGATGGGTGACCGTCCGATTTGTCCACCAGAGAAAAACTATGCTGCCCGAGTCTCTTCCGCTCCCCCCCCCCCCGGGTATGTGGGACTCGTCAGCCTACTGTAGGCAACTCACACCGACCGGGCGTAGGACTGATGACCCTACCCCGTGTACTTAATCGGGAATTGGGGTATGGTCTACCAGGATGTTAGTAGCCCCCCTGAGGTTAGGTCCATGGACAGTCTATTTTGGGGAAAGAAATATAGGTCATAATGCGCCCGCTAACTCCAAGCAGTCATAATCCATGGATCTAGACCGATTTGTCACTGTCCTTGAACCTGAGTGAGTCGGTGGGAAGGACACTCCTACATTGGCCGCAAAAGGAGTTGTCCCCCTCCAGGCTAGGTGTGCTCCCGCAAGCAACATACGTCTGTAAGGAGAGCACATCTCGCGGCCAAAGGTTTTCATGGTCTGTAGTGCCAACCGAAAAAAAAAATAAATAAATAAATATAATACTCAAAGGTCGATTGAAGAAATTTTGTAAAAATATATATACAGGGTGTTTCAAGGTTAAGTAGCCAAACTGCAAAAATGAACTAAGGACCTCAAAACAAGAAAAAAAATCCCTATGAAGGTATGTCCGCAAACGCTTAGTTTAGGAAATATTCACATCTAAAGCTTTTATACAACCTTCTAAAAGTATGGTGAGAAGTCTCTTGTATTTTTTTTTCTGTATATATACTCATGTTTATTCTGTCCCGAAAAGTCTGCATTGGCGAAACTTTGGCTGTTTACCTCTTGTTTAGAGACTCAAGGCTTTACGAAATAGATTATTCCATTTAAACACCAATTACTTTATGTATATTTTTGAGCTATATGTTTGTTTGTAGTAATGGCTTCTCATCATTAATGTATGTGAGGTATTTTCCGGAAAAAAAAATTATATTCATTCTTAAAGCTTTATCAGGTGTATTAATTTATCAAGGTTTAATAATTACGAGGATCAAGAGAATGTCGGGTAATTAGCAAAGATTGCTATGTTAATATATCTAATTAAGTCATCAAAGGTATAATTGAACAAAATATGGCAAAAGCGAGACTCTCGTGAGCAACTGGTAACATGGTAGGTTATGGTACTGTGTTGACACACTCATCAGTATAAAATATTGCTTTCTCTATTGGGGATACCTTACGGGGTAAGTCGGCGAAACCTTTTCACGCATGTGCGTACGGGGGCCTATACCATTACGTAATAGTACGTTGCATAAGAGTGGTGGAAGGTGAAGTTAACCCACACAATGGCGGCCGGCAGGGTGGTGAGAAGAGCTCTCGGACTAGACGGGGTCTGGATACCCCTCACGACTCCCTTCGCCAAGGATGGATCTATCAGCTGGCGAGCTCTCGAGCACAATCTCGCGCGCTACGAGCGCGTCCCGTTCGCAGGTAGGTCATTATTATATATATTAAAAATATTATAAATTAATTTAATTTAATTATACACGAAAAAAATAATAATAATTCCTCAGATTTTTTTATGTTTGTCAATTTCGACTATAAAAATAAATAAGTAATATATTTTAAGAAAAAAATATTAATAATTATTAAGGAAAAAAATAAAATTATTAATATAAAAATATATATTTTTTCTTTTTTAATTTGAAAAAAAAAATTATTTTAATATTTAAAATATAATATGAATATTAATAATTTAAAAAAATGTATCTTATTAAATAATAACCTGAAAATGTACAAAAATAAATATTGAATTGATTCTATATACAAACAAGGTAAAGAAAATTATTACTTTTTTTCGATTAAAATAATTATTTTAATAATATGAATTTTAATTTAAAAAATGTATCTAATTAAATATTAACTTGAAAATGTATAAAATAAATATTGAATTGATTCTATATATAGTCTAAAAAAAGATATTTTATTTCGATATTTTTAAAATGTGAATTATAATCAAAATAATTCTTATCTCATTAAATAATAACCTGAAAATATACAAAAATAAATATTGAATTGATTCTATATACAGAGTAAAAAAAATTATTACTTTTTTTCGATTAAAATAATTATTTTGATATTTTTAAAAATATGAATTTTAATTTTTAAAAATTGTATCTAATTAAATAATAACTTCAAAATGTATAAAAATAAATATTGAATTAATTCTATATATAGGGTAAAGAACATTATTAATTTTTTTCGATTAAAATAATTATTTTAATATTTTTAAAAATATGAATTTCAATTTTTAAAAATTGTATCTAATTAAATAATAACTTCAAGATGTATAAAAATGAATATTGAATTGATTCTCTATATAGTGCAAAAAAAAAACCTTTTATTTCGATTAGAAAATTATTTTGATATTTTTAAAATATGAATTTTAATCAAACTAATTTTATTTATTTTATTAACTAATCTTATTAAATAATAATCTGAAAATGTACAAAATTAAATATTGAATTGATTCTATATACATTGTAAAGAAGGAAACAAAAATTTTTAGATTCAGATAATTATTTTAAAATATTTCGAAATATGAATTTTAATTTTTTAAAATTTATTTTATTAAATAATAACCTGAAAAAGTACAAAAATAAATAATTAATTGATTTTAAATGTAGTGTACAGAAAAAAAAATTCTATTCAATTAAGAGATTTTTTAAATTCACTTTTAAAAATATGAATTTTAATAAAAAAATTCATGCGTTTCTCTCTATTGTATAAAAATAATTTGAGTGGCCGTGTAATGTTTTATTTTTCAATATCAACGAACTAAAATGCTCAGATAAATACTTGATTTCTCCCCCCCTCCCCCTGCTTACAATATATTGAAAAAAAAAAAAATTGCAATCTGGACTACAGAATGCATATAAATTTCATTTATACAATTTGAGCAAATATTAATAAAATTAATTGAACAGTTGTAAAATTTGTAAAATGGGGGTTGGTTCGCCGTTAGGTTGACACGGGGTAACCCACAATTCTTATTAAATAATAACTTGAAAATATACAAAAATAAATATTGAATTGATTCTATATACAATGTAAATAAAATTATCATTTTTATTTCAAGTTAAAATTAACATAAATAAAATAATTAAATTTATTTGTATAATAATTTAAAATACTTAAAATTATTATTTCAATATTTTTAAACTACCAATTGTAGTATTTTTATTTCTAAACTTCTTTAATTAAAAACTATTTTGTTCGGACTATATAATATTTTTAGAAAAATATTCAGGACAATTATAACAATGGCCGCAAAGTGAATTTACACTATATTTACATAAAATAAAAACAAATAAATTAAATAGTACCGATATAGTACATAGAATCATGAGGTAAATAAACCAGCAAAATGAAAAAAAGCTTGAACTTAAAAAATGAAATAAATACCTAAAGCACAAGCATGCCAAGGATTATAAATTATAGTAAACAATTTAATTATCTGAATCTGAATCTTTGTTCAATAATAACTTGAAATGGACAGAAATTAATTTTGAATTATTTTTACATATTATATATTTATACATAGTGTAAAAAGAATTATTATTTTTTCATTTTAATTAAAATGAACGGGATTAAAAAAAAAAAAAAAGAAATATTATATTCTCTATTAAAAACAAATCAATATCATTTTATTGTTGTATACATTTTCGTATAAATAATCTAAAACAATAATAATATTGCCAATTCGGAAAAATGTTGAGCTTAAATCTACAGTTCTAAAATAACAATAAATAAAAATAATACAAGACAAGATCACCGGTACACCGTCACTAAAGTTGTGTTTTCCTACTATTTTTGGTTTGGAATTTTAATATCGATTCTGAAGGATATTGAATGCCCAAATTTTGACTGAAATTTATACCCATTTTTGCGGCACTAATTTTATTAAAAACAAACAAGTTTCAACCCGAAGTGACCAAATGTAACAACAAAATATATGTAATATATATATATATATATATATATATATATATATATATATATATATATATATATATATACCCACCAAAAGTCTTCTTTAGGAAATACGAAACGGAATTAAATACACGCCTGCACCGTTCGACGACCTTCAATACATACAGTGCAAAAAACTAATTAGAATTCGTCCAACCGAGACCTTTAAGTGATTTCCAAGCATATGCAAGCATAAGTAAATATAAATATTTACTTTTAAAACTTAGAATTATCGAAAAGTTTTTTATTAAACCGGTGATTTGTATATGATATGGACTACGATTGTTTTTAAAGTCAATATAAAGTTTTCAAAATTATATCTGAAATAAATACAATTCCGCTTATTTTTCCTTATATAACTTCCATTATATAACTCAAGTTAGTATTGACGTTTGGTTTTGTTGAGGAAATAAAAAAAAAATTTAAGCCACAGTATAATTTGCGGCAATAATAAAATTACTTATAACACAATTATAAACTACAAGGACAAATAATTCTATATTATTCGGATATAATTACATATAGATTATAATCATGAGTACAAATAAACAAAAACTTAAAATATAAAATGCATGCACCTATTTTTAATGTACTTGATTAAGTGTTTGTGGTTTCACCTGTAAGCTATATATGTTTATATATTTTTTTGTTAAAAAGTATTCAATAAATTTTAATAATTATATTTTATTGTGGAAATCAATGTATTATTTAATAAAATCTATATAGCGAAATTGTTGGAATGAAATTTTAAACTTCAAATTTAAGACCCCATTTTTTACAAATTAAATAAAAAAACGTGCATCTTGATGCAATGCAGTATTTTCATTATTTTTGTTTTTAAAGAATACGAAAATATAATTTTAGCTATATACTTTACTGTGATAGCGTAACCAATTAATTTAGGCGGAGATTGGTTTAAGTTAAAAACATTTTATCTTATTTAATTTATCTACTTGATAAGTTAATTTAAATTATTCAAAATACATTCCAACTAATAGCTTGCCTCTCTGCGCATGTTTTAGTATTTTTCATAATAGTTTGTACTTATTTTAAATAATTTAAATTAATTTAGTAGTTATTAAATTTACAAGAAAATCGATCAATGAATTATGTAACTTTCAACCCCCTCGTGTCACGATTCCAACGGTGCTAGAGAGAAGCGTTAGTTTTTATTTAATTTATTTTATTCTCTTAAATAAATAAATATCATGGTATTTATTTGTTAATATTTACTTCACATCAATATTCTTGTTTAATTTATGAACCTTTTTCACTTGGTAGTTAATTGTAATAAAATGTTTTATTTCATATTAAAATAGCGTTAGTTATTTATTAAGTTTCTTATTAAAGATGATTTATTCATGTCTAATAAATATTTTATTATTTTTTAATAGTAGAACCTAATAAAGTCCATTGAAAAGGTATTGGTTTATATGAGATTTATGTTCTCTATTAATTAATATAAAATAAAATACTCAACAAATCTGTTTGCGAGTATATAAGAAGAATATTCTATATTGAGTTTGATCTAAATATATCTGATTTTTTTAATGTTTTGATGATTCCTATATTAGCATATAGTTGGCTTAAATGAATTTCAAAAACAAATTATTAAGTTTCTATAAAGCCGGTAAACAACTAATCAGTAAACTATATGCTAATATAGGAATCATCAAAACATTAAAAAAATCAGATATATTTAGATCAAACTCAATATAGAATATTCTTCTTATATACTCGCAAACAGATTTGTTGAGTATTTTATTTTATATTAATTAATAGAGAACATAAATCTCATATAAACCAATACCTTTTCAATGGACTTTATTAGGTTCTACTATTAAAAAATAATAAAATATTTATTAGACATGAATAAATCATCTTTAATAAGAAACTTAATAAATAACTAACGCTATTTTAATATGAAATAAAACATTTTATTACAATTAACTACCAAGTGAAAAAGGTTCATAAATTAAACAAGAATATTGATGTGAAGTAAATATTAACAAATAAATACCATGATATTTATTTATTTAAGAGAATAAAATAAATTAAATAAAAACTAACGCTTCTCTCTAGCACCGTTGGAATCGTGACACGAGGGGGTTGAAAGTTACATAATTCATTGATCGATTTTCTTGTAAATTTAATAACTACTAAATTAATTTAAATTATTTAAAATAAGTACAAACTATTATGAAAAATACTAAAACATGCGCAGAGAGGCAAGCTATTAGTTGGAATGTATTTTGAATAATTTAAATTAACTTATCAAGTAGATAAATTAAATAAGATAAAATGTTTTTAACTTAAACCAATCTCCGCCTAAATTAATTGGTTACGCTATCACAGTAAAGTATATAGCTAAAATTATATTTTCGTATTCTTTAAAAACAAAAATAATGAAAATACTGCATTGCATCAAGATGCACGTTTTTTTATTTAATTTGTAAAAA